TCTGTGTCCACCAGTCCTGGACTGCTATACCTTTATATCTGGCTCAGGATGTCTGGTATCCACAGAGCTCCAGAGTAAAGTGCTGTGTATGAGTGTATTACAGAGCTCCACAGAGATAATACTCCCAGTAATGTGTCTGAGTGTATCACGGAGCTCCACATCAATAATGGTCACAGTAATGTGCAGTGTGTGTATCACAGAGCTCCACAGCAATAATACTCCCAGTAATGTGTCTGAGTGAATAACAGAGCTCCACAGCAATAATACTCCCAGTAATGTGTCTGAGTGTATAACAGAGCTCCACAGCAATAATACTCCCAGTAATGTGTCTGAGTGTATAACAGAGCTCCTCAGCAATAATACTCCCAGTAATGTGTCTGAGTGTATCACAGAGCTCCACAGCAATAAAACTTGCTAAACCGTAAATAACTTCACAACCAAAGATGAAAACGTTACAATATCCCTGGCTCAATAAAATGTTTTACTAAGACCTCGATTTAAAAGGCTTTCCAAATGATTCAATACTGTTAAAGAAACTTTATAAATGATTTATCTACCAAAAACATTAATGGGGATTTCTGTAGAAAGTTTTTCTAACAATATTATATTATTTGGGAAGCTTATTAAAGCGTTCCCTACGTTTACTACTTGGAATATGTTTTGGTATTTTGGTGTACGTGGACCAATAATTCTGAGTCTAAAGGATTGACTTTTAAAAAAGTGGTTATGAGGGGCGGAGCCAAGTACTTGAACAGAACGGTAGCATATCCCTCGAGCTCTGACCACAGGCCCCCTAAAAACACTAAAAATCAAGCAAATATCCCCAAATTTACAGGCACCACTAGACCCACAAGCAGCCATGTCGCTCCAAAAGCAACAAACCACACTGGAGCAGAGATATGCAGCTATGGAGGACTCCAGGCGCCGCAACAACATTAAGATTAGAGGGGTGTCGGAGACTGTGCCGGACGCCGAGTTACCACACTTCCTTAGACGGCTCCTGTGTGCACTCCTAACCCCCAGACAAGCCAAATTGATGGCAACTGATGGCACGTTCCAGATCCCCAAGCTGTCTCGGGCCCGGCCACAGCCCCAAGGGACCTGATCTCCCGTTTCCAGGCCGGACAGGACAAGGCCGCGGTGCTGCGCTCCCTCAGAGGACAAACACCATACCAATTCGAGACCTCTCAGCTCACCTTTTATGCGGACCTCTCAGGGGGCACCCTATCGTGGAGGAAAACACTGCAGCCCTTCACCACATTCCTGCGAGAGCAGGGTATTACATACCGATGGAAAATGGCTCACACGCTGAAGGTCACACAGGACGGTGCTTCCTATCCGGTCCAAGACATCGGGGAGGTAGAGGTGACCCTGTTGAAGTTGGGCTTCCCAAAGGACTCACGACTGGGAGAACGCAAGTGGCGGCCCAGCCCCACACCTGGGACCCAGCTGGCACCGCTCCATTCGTACCCAGGAAGCCCATAGGCGCAGCGACCAATGCAGGACTAACCACAGCAGATCCACAGAGCTAGACCACCGACATGGCACGCTCTGCTGCCTGGTGTGAGCTGAAGGCTCATTGGACATAGCACTGGACTCCCTAACGTAGCTACCGATATTACTATATGTTGACCTCTTTTTTGTTGTTCTTTTCTCTTTTGTTTGTTTCTGCTTAAAATCTCTTGTTGCACAACTGCATACACGCCTTGCGCCCAGCATCTCACCACTAGATCGTCCACCCGCACAGCCACCACCATGAAGGGGCTAGAGCAGGGGAAAGGGGCATAGATTCTGGAGCACACAGACCTTCCCCCCCCTCCCCTCAGCATTCTCAGCACACACTGCCCCCCCAACAGAGGGCCACAGACCACAACGCTCCCACGGGGTAGAGGCTAAGTAGCCCTGTAGTAACGACTCGACGGGGAACTACCAGACTCCACAAATCATATCGCCCCCACACATGCTAGACACACAAGCACACATTTACCCTCCCACCCCAGGTCCACAGACACTCATATAGGCTTCGGAACCTACACCAGGACCAGAACCTCCACTTCCATCGCTAGCAGTTCAGGGAACATGTACCCACATTGCTCAATGCGCAACCACTCACTATTCCCCACTAAACCCCAACAGCACACACGTAAGGCACAAAACTACCAGCAGAATGCAAAATGAGCAACTGTGCGTTGAAATATCATAAATAATGTTTGGTTCCTATCTATTATTACTCCTTCCTTCTCTCACATACTGCCTAACGCTGCATAATCTTTATATAAGATGAGAAAAGTGTTGAACAATCTTATGTTTACTTTAAAAAAAAAAAAAGAGCGCAACATTTTCTCTTTTACAACATGGCATGGAACCAACTCATGTAATCCGTTAAATGTATTACCTCCAATATGTAACTCATTATGCGCTACAAAAATAAAAAATATAAAAAAAAGTGGTTATACTGGCTGATAGAGAATGATGGGAGTTGGAGAGACAGTTATTGTCCATCTTTGGAATGTATCAGTTTTTAAACCTTTTCCGCTAATTTCTCTGGAAATATTCAGATAATGTTAGCTAACAGTATTTTGTTTTGGTTTTTATTCTGGAAAGTTTAAACATGATTGTCCTATTCTGTCCATTCTCTTTTATTTTGATGTTGTTTTTGCACATAGAATTATCGATAGAATTATCCACTAAAGTGTGAATTGTACGTTTTTTCGTCACCATAGTCAAATTGTAAACCTTCCCCAAATGAGCTACGTCTCTAGTTCAGCTATCTTTGCTGAAAACTTGGACTTACCGTTAGATTTCAGAAAATTCCCAATTTAGTGAATAACCTTACAGTATTATAATAAGAACCTTGGGATGTTTGCCTTCAAATTCCCCCAATAAGCCACAAAAGATGTCTCTTCTCTCCCAGGTGCAGATTGTGAGTGCAGTGAATAGCTCTGTTTATAATCTGTGTAGTCAATAGTGAGACTACTGCGTTTTAATTAAAAAAAAAAAAAAACTTTTTAAAGGCAGCAATGAGATCAGCTAAAAAAACGAATATAAAGACTAGAGTAGTGCCGTCTACATGTAGAATGTCTTCACTTGGGAAACAGAGGGTTCATTCATACTGCTATACTGCCTCCTAGAGGAGAATATTAATAATATTCACCCAGCCGCAGCAGGATCACTCAATATTAATGCAACTCTGTATTTTAGCTTTTCTTTCAGTTTTCTTTTCCTTATGCCCTTTGTATCTAAATGTTAATTGTTCAGGAATGGTTTGAGGAACATGACAAAGTGTTTAATGTGTTTAAATCAGATTAAATCGAATTGAGCCTCTGTGGGATATGCTGGAACAACAAATCGGATCCATGAAGACTTGCCAGTTTTTCAGATCTAAATACTAGCTTAAAGGATCACAAACTCGTCAGGAAAACCCCTTCAGCCACTTACTTTAATCCAGCGCCGGGCTCCCTCGGCGCTGGTGACCTCTCCTCCCACTCCGACGTCGGCTCCCAAGTGGAGCAGAATGCGCATGCGCGGTCAGAGCCGCGCACGTATTAAAAACGCCCATAGGAAAGTATTTCTCAATGCTTTCCTATGGACGTTCTGCACAGTGAATGCGATTTTCGCAGAAGCGCCTCTAGCGGGTGTCAGGAAGACAGCCACTAGAGGTTGGATTAACCCTGCTATGTAAACATTGCAGTTTCTCTGAGACTGCTATGTTTACATATGAAGGGTTAAAACCTGGGACACCCAGACCGCTTCATTGAGCCGAAGTGGTCTGGGTTTTTATAGTGGTCCTTTAAAGGACAACTGTAATAAAATTGTCACTTGTGATTTTTAACCTTTATTACATTTAATGAAACTTGTTTTATTTTTTTTAAACAACGTATATTGATTTTTTGGGGAGGAGAAAATGTCACTTTATTTGGCTGAGCGGCCATGTGGGGTCAGACTGTTATCTGACCAACTGCTGCTCAACCTAATTGGCTGCTACTGTGATTGCTCTGTGTGAAAAAATAGGAAATTGAAATCCAAATTGTAAACTTTAGGCAAAAAAAAAAAAAATATGGATTTTTTTTAACTCAGAGATAAAATTGTGCAGTTCGGTTTACAATTTAGAGTATGGTAAATAAACCCCATAGGAATGTTGTGGACCTTTTGATAGACAGGTTTGTGGGGAAAAAGTTGAGACCAGATCAAACAAAGAGGACCTATTTATTTCTACACACAGTAACCTTTATACGCGGATATGTATCGAATCCTAATGTGTCGTGGAACAAAGGATTTATACTGTAATTTGTCTATTAATAATACTGATAGCTTATATGCACAGATGGTGCATAAAGGTGTAAATGAAGGTAATTCTGGAAAAATTGTGCAGGAACTACTAATAAACTAGAATGATAGGATTTCTTATATCACACTAGTGCTGCACCGTATACACAAAAGGTAACTTTGTGGAAAGAAAGTTACAGAGCTTAAAATAATTTCATGGGAGCAGTAATTAAGCAGTGCGTTTTATTTTACATCAGAACGATGTTATGTGATTCAATTCAATATATGGATTGTTGACTTCTGTCTCCTGTTTATTGGAGGGGCCCCAAACCCGGTTATTGTATTTTGGTTTAATGTTTTCTGGAGATTTTCCAAAAACCTTGTGGTCTGGGCTTTAGGTCCATTTTTTAACCATTAATAAAAACATGATTCACGAACGAATTTACTGCATAATTTCACAGTTTGGCAGCGTTCATTCTCCAGACTTTCTGCTTGATTCAGTTACATTCTCTGAAATCAAGGCATTTTATTTGGCATACAGACTGGACCAAGATTAGTTCAACTTGATTTATATGTAATTTACATTAAGACTATTTTCCTGACACATTGGGGTGTGGAGTTACAATTATTTTATTGTGTACTAATTGCTGCCAAATTTCAATTTCATGACATGTGGATTTATGCTGAATTAAGACACAGAGTACAGTCTCACCTGTCTGATAACAATCTGTACTGGACGGAGTCCTCCCATTGAAACAATAATCTCTGAACTGTGAAAATAGTCAAATTTTGTTAGATTTATAGACAAATATACATACTTCAGTTATTTTGCATTACTTAATAAACTTGTGCAAAAATGAGCTTGAACCAGTTTGTCCAAATGAAAACCCTTTTTTTTTCCTACCCGAACGAATCACTTCGGCCAGAATTTACTGGTAGAATCATATTCGTTGAATAAGACTGTTCGAGAGTGGATTGAAAACATTTTGATTCTGTCTAACCGTTCTCAAACAAATTTTTCAACAAGTCTATTTAATTCACGTGGATATATTTTTCCACAGTATAATAGGCTGTATATTTATTTTGTGTACTCAAGGGGGTGCTATAGTGCAGTTAAACGGTGATGCACAGTGTGATTTTACACAGCATAGAGTGATAAAAATAATATAACATTACGGAGGATCTCGCTCTGTCACAACCATACCGGGCCCTCTACTGGGACACGATTTATGGTCAAATGTAGGTCAGATATTTCCGTTCTGACACATCCCCTCTGACAGTCGGCAGGCGCGGAGAGTTCATTGCCGTTCGAAGTCCCGTACTAATCCTGGAAGGATAATGGGTTACGGGCACAAACTATATTATTTTATATCCCCTCTGTAAAATTGTAAAGCGCTGCGGAACAAGTTGGCCCTATATAAATTCAAATAATTCTGCAGTATGTCTCCTCTAAATCCAGGCCTCGCTGCAGTAAAATAAATGTTTTGGCCATGCAACCCACTACACACCAAGAGCCAAGACGTTTTACAAAGGCTGCGCAGGATCAGGTAGAATCCAGGCTGCACTCCAGAAATACAATGGTCTTTGGCAGAGCGGACTTTGCATCACAATGCCATCCTGCAGCGACACCGGACCAAAAAACTAAGAGACAACAGATATTTTAATTGGCCGTGTTCTACCGATGGGCGCAGACTGATCACTGTGAGGACTCTGGAGATTATTATTTACTGAAACAGAAATTGTGGAGAACTGACAAGGGAACACCAAATACTAGGCTAAACTAGTCGATCTGGATCACGTAGGAGAATATTTCTGGTTCAGCTATTCTGGTCTAATATTTGCATTTTCCTCATCAATTCCCGACAACAATAACCCAGTTACAGTTTATTCACTAAACACTGAATTTCTGTGATTTAGAAACTAGTCTGAAAAAAGCAAACTGCGACTGGAGTCAGCTGGGAGCGATGTTTGGCCGCCATCCTGCAGCGGGTTTTCATTTAATGCTTAGTGAATACACTAAAACATTTCATTCAGGTGTGGAAACGGTGCTACCGATAGGAAATTGGGGTATAATGCTGCTTTTTGGTATATTTCAGAGCCTGTCTGGGAAGCCGAGTACTGATGTTTTATTCATTTTATGTCCTTTGGAAAACGTACTTTAGATGGGAATTCCTGAGCAGAATAAAATATCACATTTAGCATTTTGTCCTGAAACAAATCTCAGACAAGCTTTAAATATCTACACAATACTAGAACAGATAATAATGTAAAGGGCGAGTTTCAGAGACAAGCAAAGAAAACAATCGGCGCACAACGCACAGCACCAGAGGGGCAGGTATTAGATTTAATGGCAGAGATTTTATCACACTAGGTGCCAGAGGGAACGTTCAGAATATATCACACTAGGTGCCAGAGGGGACATTCAGGTTATATCACATTAGGTGCCAGAGGGGACATTCAGAATATATCACACTAGGTGTCAGAGGGAACATTCAGAATATATCACACTAGGTGCCAGAGGGAACATTCAGATTTTATCACATTAGGTGCCAGAGGGAACATTCAGATTTTATCACACCTGGTGCCAGAGGGGATTTTCAGCAGGTAGTTCATTACGTGCCAGAGAGGATATTAAGCAGGTAGTTTGTTAGGTGCCAGAGGCGACATTCAGCAGCTAGTTCGATAGGTGCCATAGGGGACATTCAGCAGGTAGTTTGATAGGTCCCACCGATCTCCTTATTGCAGACTTCAGTTGGACAGTTTCGATCAGAGGGTCCTGTCCCGCCATCTTAGGCTTGTTTCAGGGGGTGCTTCCTGAATGGGCTGGCTTCTTCATTAGCATCACATCAGGCTGACCTGCTGTAAGAGCTTGTTTCTGTTCCTGCAAGAGCTCAGTGAAGCTAAGGGAGTATGAAGAGCATAGCAATCCCTGATTATAGCTGTCCCCTCCTAACACGAGTCAAGGCTGCGAGTTGAGGGTGAAGTAGAACTGAAGGTTTAATGGTACAGCTGCTTCTTATATACAGTATTCCCCCACAAGGTTACCGCCCACGTGGACCTTGTGGGGCACCGGACATGAAATACACAATCCAATAAAAACAGAGTTTTACATTGAACACTCCCAGTTATTGTACACAAACCCTCCCCTCTGCCTTTGATACAATTAACAAACACAATGGGCTAACTCAAACCCCAAAAAGTACCCCAAAATACAACATATCCCCTGATAGTCCCGATCTGGGTGAACAACATATCCAAAAATCACCCAGATCAGTTCATGGGTTCAGGAATTTCCTGGAAGTCTTATTTTTGCCCCACCGTGCACATGGTCCCATGCCCAAAACAGTTCCATACACCCAACGACAAAACACTGCTGGACCATTTAAGATGGCTACCGCCACATGTTTGAATCTGCTTCAGTTAAAAGTCCAAGGGGCAGAAACAGTACTTTTGAACATGGGTTATCACAGGGCCCATAGTCCCAGGGTAGGAGGCTGGCAAACAGGTCGCTTCAAAAACTCATGGCAAACGGGGAGTTTGTCACACCTTCTAATAATACAGAGCTATCACTCCCTGTTCCTGGTGGGCCTGCCACCCCTGTCTCCTGCTGGCAGCAGTGACATAATTAATGTCACTGGCGCACTCAATTTAACCCATCTTTGTAAACTAGCTTCACATATTGTTTTGCAGGTGAATCTGTTAAAATGTGGTATATTTGGCACTTGCTAACAGCAGTGGTGTATTCTGGTTTTGTGCTGCCCTAGGCATGACAAAACCCAGGCACCCCTCCTCCACCTCCCCCCTGCCCCCTTCCAAATTTCTCTTTCTGACAGACACATGCCCTCACTGATACATACACTGACATACACTCACTTACAGATACACAGTCATTGTCACATACACTGTTTAACCAACACATACTTTCACTGAAACGTACACATTCACGGACATACACACTCACTCATTCATAGTTACACACACACACATATACACTAACTGAAAGACACATACACACTCACTGACAAGACGTACATGCATACTCACTGACAGACGCACACTCACTCAGTGTCACACACACATACTGGGACACACATATACTCACTGACAGATACACATACACACTCACTGACAGGCATATATACACTCAGTAACTTACATTTTGGTGGATTTTTCCCTGTGGTCCAGTGGAGCTGCTGCTGGCTGGGCTGACAGGTGATCGGGGAGACAGGTGCACAGTTCAGGCGGGCAGCGGGGGAGCTCTGATCCTCCTGCTCAGCTTCCCCGCGCACCTCTCAGTGATGCCGAAGCCGGAGTGACGTCATATTCCAACTCCAGTATCACTGCGGTGTGCGCAAGGGAGCTGAACACGAAGAGCTCAGGGGAGAGATGCCAGCCTTGAGGGGACCCTGAGCTGGCCAGCTCTCTGGTCTCCCAGGGCAAGAGGCTGGCAAGGCATTTAACAGGTTATAACAAACACAAAGCGCAAAATCAAATGGAGCACCAAATCAAATTTGAAGTAACAACAATAAGGCAAATTTACGCAGACTGAGTTCTAAACACATTTATTGTAGTTTAAAGACACATTGCTGGGAGTATTATTGCTGTGGAGCTGTTATACACTCAGACACATTACTGGGAGTATTATTGCTGTGGAGCTCTGTTATACACTCAGACACATTACTGGGAGTATTATTGCCTTGGAGCTCTGTTATACACTCAGACACATTACTGTGAGTATTATCGCTGTGGGGCTCTGTTATACACTCAGACACATTACTGGGAGTATTATTACTGTAGAGCTCTGTTATACACTCAGACACATTACTGGGAGTATTATTGCTGTGGGGCTTTGTTATACACTCAGACACATTACTGGGAGTATTATTGCTGTGGAGCTCTGTTATACACTCAGACACATTACTGGGAGTATTATTACTTTAGAGCTCTGTTATACCCTCAGACACATTACTGGGAGTATTATTGCCGTGGAGCTCTGTTATACACTCAGACACATTACTGGGAGTATTATTGCCGTGGGGCTCTGTTATACACTCAGACACATTACTGGGAGTATTATTGCCGTGGAGCTCTGTTATACACTCAGACACATTACTGGGAGTATTATTGCTGTGGAGCTCTGTTATACACTCAGACACATTACTGGGAGTATTATTGCTGTGGAGCTCTGTTATACACTCAGACACATTACTGGGAGTATTATTGCTGTGGAGCTCTGTTATACACTCAGACACATTACTGGGAGTATTATTGCTGTGGAGCTCTGTTATACACTCAGACACATTACTGGGAGTATTATTGCTGTGGAGCTCTGTTATACACTCAGACACATTACTGGGAGTATTATTGCTGTGGAGCTCTGTTATACACTCAGACACATTACTGGGGTATTATTGCTGTGGAGCTCTGTTATACACTCAGACACATTACTGGGAGTATTATTACTGTGGGGCTCTGTTATACACTCAGACACATTACTGGGAGTATTATTGCTGTGGAGCTCTGTTATACACTCAGACACATTACTGGGAGTATTATGGCTGTGGGGCTCTG